CATGACTACTGTTGCCAGAAGTAGTCGGATTTGGTCCGATCCAGGGCGTGGCGCCATGATGGCTTGGATTGCTCAGATGGACTGAGTGAAAGAGATCCGCTTGGTTCTCCGCGGTTGATTTTTTACGTTTGACCTGCGGGGTAGCGAACATCCCTTGTAAATGAGAAGCGCCTTCAAAGCATTCTACAATTCAGAGTAATTGAGGAGCAAAACGGATTGGTGGGTCCCTGGTCGCCACAGTGTCCACCTGGCCACCTTCCCTATCTGCAAGTGTCACCTTGGCACCAATGGCATATGTTTTCCGGATCGAGTATGACCGGACAGCAGCGGCAGCAGCAGCAGCAGCAGCAGCGGCACCGGTCGGGGCGCGGTTCCAGCAGCACGCGAACCAGTCCTTTGTCCTCGGATTATCGGTGCAATCCGTCCTCGCCGTCCGTGCCTTTCGGAGGCGGCGCCAGGTGTCCCAGCCCCTGACGGGCTGCAGCCAGACATGTCTTTGTTCCGTATAAGACCATACGCCGCTGTACGGCGAGCAGTAGCTGAATGGACTACACAGAACAGCACAGGTGGATCATGCTAGGGATCGATATGGGTTATGGTAATTGGGCTTTGTCGCATGGAACACAATGCCGACGGAAAACCGTAACAACTGGATGAGATCATTCGCTCATGTCACCTTGATTTTCTTGGCAATACCTCGACTTATCATCACGCAAAGCATTTCATTTTACGTATCTGTGGGCGATTCAAACAGATGACAGTGGGGAGCGCATTCCTCTCCCGCCCACACAGCAGGATGCCTCCTGAGTGATCCGCAGAAATAAGCTAATGAGCCACTCTGCCTCTCTGATAGGGCTCCTCCCGTAATTACCGCCCGCAGAATCACAGCAGCAGATATCAGAGAGTACGCAAAGACGCTGATTTGTCCCTCAGCTGCCGACAACTCAGATGACGTCATCAAATTGCGTCACTGCTCGCTGGTCACCGAGGGCACCGCCGCGCTGGGAAACAATGAAGACAATGGCGACACGGCACCTGCAAGGTCAGACAGGTCCCACAGACCGGGTCTGTCTCTCGGTCTGTTACGCCTAAAGCCGCGCCCAGGAGGCAGCGACACACCAGCATGACACGGGGCGCCTAGGGGCGTGTGATGACGTCATCTAAACTGATGCGGGCTTGTGCGTAGTGGCTCTTCCCTCCCCTCCTCACCGCAGCAAGCAGAACATGCTCGGCCCGACTTTTGACCAGCATTGTCTAGCCAAAATCATTCATCAAAATCGTCAGCATCGCTGTCATCACCACTTTGCCACCACTTTAGTCGTCGCTGTTAATCGCTACCAGCATTTCCGATCTCCATTCGTTGTGACCCCTCTCCTATCCTAGCACCGACACCTCCCTTCCGTCGTCGTTTCCAGCGTCGCCGCCGCCGCGGGGCGTCTCCACGGTCCGTCGCCGGGTCATCGCTCTCGGTGCGTCATGTGCTCAGCGCAGACGCGCCACTCGGCCGGGCTCGTCTCGCGCTGTGACAGGAAGCGCGACGCTCATTGTCTGAGCGAGCGGCGATGATTAGTGCCGAACGGGCCGCGGAGAGGGGAGAGGACAGACGAACGGATAGACGGACGGACGAAACGAACTACATACATAGGTATAGGCGGAGGGACAGCACAGGAGGGCATACGGACGGAGAAACGGACGGATGGACCGATGGACGAAACGAACTACATAGGTAAGCGGAGGGATTGAACAGGACGGTATACGGACGAAGAAACGGACGGACTATGTACAAGAACGGACGGACAAGATGAATCAGGTAGACGAGGAGACAGAACAGAGGGAAACGATGGATTCCACGTCTGGAAAAGGAACTGATGGATTGGACGAAAGATCGACTCTTCATGCAAACTAAGTGCAGGATATGTGTTTAATGTGCCAATCTTGTGACATTGTGCTATACCATCTATAAGTAAGCTTTTAAGCTGTCAGTGCAAATAATCACTTGTGATGCGCACTGATTCAGATGATCTTGATTGGCACTTAGCGCAAACAACGATGCTGTTGTTAGCATTGTCTAATGCGATGCGAGCGGTCACTTATTCCATAATGCAGTACCAAAATTCTGAATTGTTATAGCCATCATACCACCTGACACTAAATAGGATCAGGACAGGGAAGATCGCTTTGCAAAACGAGCCTAGTTATAAATATTTATAACACGGCTTTAGACATCACTGATTTGGTAACGCATGCTACCGCATCAAATTTTAGGGCAATTTGGAATAGCATTGTAGAAGATTGTCTCCCCTTAATGCATATTTAACCACACTTAAAAGCAGGAAACACGAGATTATAAGCCCCCCGCAACAATCGGTCGTAAAAAGCACTGCGAAACAATGCTCTTGGAGCTGGTGTGTGGTCCGGCCCTCACACGTCAGAGCTGTAAATTTTCCGCCGAGACAGGTGTCACTCTACAGGCAGTAGATTAGTCTTTGCAAGGTTTGCCGCCGTTATCCGGAGGCATTCTATAGAAAAAAGAGCCGCATATAAACTGCAAATAAAGAATGATAGAAATTATCAAGAATATCTTAAACAAAACGTAGGTACCTATATTTGACTAGTCCTAAACCAAAATGCACTTTAGGTACACTTCACTGGTGCAATACATAGGTCGCCTAAAAGCTGTGGCCTTTCAAAACTTAGCCATTTTCAGAGTCCCATTTATTTCAACACACCAGTTTTGGCGGTGCCCGTCCTCCTGCCTATAGCCGCAGCTCATGGGGCTTATTATTCCCCCCCCCCACAGCTCCTTCCCGCGGGGGTGACACGCGCACATCCTGTGTGACACCGCCCTCAGACGAGGCCCGGGGCGGTACCCGGGGCGACGCCCCAGGCCCTGTCGCGGAGGGCCCGGCAGCTGCCAGCCTGCTCCGCCATGTGGGTACAGTTACGGTCAGGCTATTTGCTTGGTCGACGAACCGAGGCGGCGGCAGGGTCAACGCTTCGACGGCGGCGGCGGAGGCGGCGACGGCGGTGGCGGGGAGGACCGGGGGAGGCGGGGAGGCGAGGCGTGATGAGGGAGGGGAGCTAGAAATGGAAGAGAAGGAAGTGGTGAACCAAAACGGACGCTCAAAACTGGAGTTACGAAGCGGAAAAGACAATGGATGGATGAGCATTACGAGGAAATGCGACAGGTAATTCGTGGGGCTGTGTCTATGTATAGAGGGCGAAACGTAAATGATTGGGAAGGTCAATGTGCTAATAGCAGGATGCGAACAGCAGTGGCGGACGTCCCGTTTACGGTGTCGGACAAAACTGGTCCTTGCGGGTTTTCCAATGCACGCCATTTGCCACAAAATGGCCACTTTTTCATCGAGCGTACAGTTTATCCGGCATCATTCAATGTCACAGCTCCAATTGGCCCATTCATAAATCAATGCTGAAATTCACCAGCGCTGGTATCCATTCACCCCTTCCACCAATACGACAATAAGGGTCACTTCTCTTTTCAATCGACCAAAGCTGTCGACCTTCGTGAACGTGACGTGACGGGCCGACCGGCGACCAGCAATATCAGCCACCAACGCCCTAAAAATCCATCAGCGCCGCCCCCATCCACCCCTGTGCCGTGCTGCTGCTGCCTCCTACACTGCTTTCGCGGCCACCAACAGTGAGGCCAGGTCCGGTTTGGCGACGGCGAGCACTGACTGCGTCACCGGAGGTTTACACGGGCCATGATGCCAGGGACACGTACCGCTATACCTGGGTAGACGGACCGAGGGGCTCTGACCTCGAGTGTAATTGGCACTGTGGCTGGCAGGGAGTTGTAGAGCAGACATCAAGTCATAAATCTGGCCGGTGACTTCACAGTGCTGGTTGCGTGCTGGATAGGCATATCTTGACAGACAAGCATGCGTCACACAAGCGTGCCGCATGCTGCATCCAGGAATAGAGAGTCATCCTCGGCGAATGAACGCTACGAGAGAAGGAGTCATCCAAGTTCCGAATAAGTCACCCCTTCTCATGACTTGAATCACCGGAATAAAAATGGGAAATATTGCGTCAGGTTAGCATAAGACCTGTTAAATCCAGCAGGCATCCAAACTGAGAATGACTTTAGGCACTCATGCCACGTTTTTAGTTTTGCAGTTTGCTGTTCCAAATACAACAGCAAAGTTCGACTTCCCCTGTTTGTTCAATAATCCAGTGAAATGCAACACTAAAACACACAGAAATAGGAAGGCACAGCTATGAGACAGTAAAAAGCAGTAAAAAGGAAGTTGATGCCATGGACCGGCACCACATTGTCAGCAGCAGAGGTCCGAGACTTCATGCTCGGCTGCTTGTTTATACTCGTGTGATGAAAATATGCTAATGCAGTACAAACATGTCACAGCAGCAGGAAACGCTGCATACGACGGGAGGGCCCGGCTGTTTGTCGTTCACTAACATACAGCACAAAGCTCTGCTCTCTCCTCTTTTTATACGGGGATGTGGAGACATGAGCACATTATCTCGTACTTTTTGACAATTAAATGTATCTGACAAAAATAATTTAAATAAATTGTTAGGGTAAGAATGTACGCTTATGACATGGATTTCAGTGATCATGAAACACGGATAAGTATATCTCGTTATGACATCAATCCCGTGATCACGATCAATAAATCCTGCAGGACGGGCTGAAAGATCCTGCATGATCCCAAATATCATAGAAGCGGCTGATGTCTGTGCGCTTTCCAAGCCACCATGTCTAGCTCCCTGGCAGGTGTTTGACACTGGCTCACACACAGACAGACCAACATACCGTCGAGCCATGCCCCTACACCCAACTCCGACCGATCACACCACTGTTGCACAATCTCCCCATTCACATCACCACACACTCACACTCCCATCTCTCCAGGTGGCTCCCTGCCCCGCGGCGGTCTCCCCCACACCGCACAGGTCAAAGGTCACGTGACCCGCGGGTCGCGACCCCTGGGTCGTGCCCGGTTGGTACTCACCGAGAAGGACTCCGATTGAGAACCGCCTCGCGCGGGCGCACCACTCGCACTGACGGCCCCGCATAACCACGAGCGTCGCGCTTCGGTGAAAGTGAGCGGTAGGAGCCGGCCGCGAAACAGATCAGAGCGACGGTGGCGCCTCGAGCCGGGGGCGCGAGGTGCAAAACGGACTGGGTGTGATGCATGTAGAGGAAAAATTGTGAGCTTGCCAGTTGCTATTTGTAGGAGTAGTGTCATGCCGCGGATAATGATCATTATCTATTACAATGCGTAAGAGATATTGAAAATGAGCCCACCAACAGAAAAATCGTCATCAGGGTAGTTTTTATCCCCAAAATTTGCAAACAAATTTCACCAGGCGCGAGAAAATAACCGCTGACGTAGAAATAGGGCATAGGCTGCTGACTGATATTATGTGTCCTTTTACCGTTTTTTTTTTTTTTTGCCTGGCTGGCTTGGCTCGTAGGCAACTGCAGTACCTATATCTGCAGTTGTATTCGGTAAATAATTGCAGCCGGTGGTAACTGTTGGTAGCTCTGTTGGTAAAACTGGCTTTTAATCCATTTTATTTATGAAATACACGCAACATAGCCCATAGCCTGCCTTTTTATAGGTATCGCTCAAGAGATTAGACCACGTAGCATTCAGCTGTGATAATGTAGCAATTTTACGAAATGAACTTTGCACTTTGCATGAGCCTTATCAGTTTTTGATTAAACTCATCTGTATTTAGTTTTTCATGGCTCCGAGTGGAAGGTGTGGGTATCGTTTCCAAGTGGGTTACTGCCGGGGCAAGGGGTGAAGTTTACAACAAGCACGGAAACATATCCGAAACTGTTACCCCATCTGCAAACAGTCGGGGTTGTGAGGAAGTGGACGTGATACTTCGTAACTACGAAAACAACAACGAAAACAAGTTTTCGATTTCGAGCTCTTTACAGATTTGTTACCTAAACATTTGATTCAAAACTTTGGCATGCGTATAAACTACGGGCCTAAGATTGTATATACAATAAGCGTAGTTACTTCTAAGTAGTGTTCTACTTACCAAGAAGTTCCACTTAGCTTTTGCCTTCCATTTCTTTTACCTTCCATCCTATTTAACCCGCGCCCCACTGGGGTCTGCGTATAACACGCCCTACTGGGGGGGGGGGGGGCTATTCATAGCCCCCCTCCTAACTCCAAAACTACTGGGCCGATCGTCAAAATTCAAACGACGTCTGATAGCCTCGGAAAAACTGTCGAGCGAAACCTAATTTCATTGACCTCGAGGTCACCGATGACGTCACAGGTCAGGTCAAAGTAAAAATTATTAGCATTTTGGCTTCTTCACGTTTTGGGCTCTGGCCGCCGTCTTACAAGTCAGATCAGGCTCATTTTTGGTTCACACACTCGTGAACAGATGCTCTAGATACTCTGAGGGTACCAAACTTGTACTTTGATTTTCAGGTCAAGGTCAGGTCATCACAGGTCACGAAAATATGATATCATCCGTCGGTCACGTGACACATGTTTTATGGTCCATTTAGGTCAGAGATTTCGAATTTGATGTCGTTTGTGTCATTCGAGGTCATTTTGAGTCAAATTTAGCTCAGGTCAGGTCACTTTCAGGTCAAAAAAGGTCAAATTTTGAAGTTATCATTTTTCAACAAAAAAGGTGTCTATTAGATGCAGTTTGAGCTCAGGAACACGATGGTGCTATTTATATTGGCGTAAGATGTCAAATTCATGCTAAAAAATTGATTTGAAAAATTAATAATTGTTAATTTTTTGCAATAATGCGTATTACTTGGCCATTTTTGAAGATATTTAGCTAAAACTTCCTAGAGTTAGTCATAATAATGCGTGCTATTATGACATATATTCCGGTTTTTTCGAAAAGTCAAAAAAAAAAATAAAAAAAATGTAAAAATATAAATTTTGAGTTTTATTATATGAAATTTTCGAAATTTTCAAAATTTCGAAAATCCGAGATAGCAGTTTGATAGCGCAGTCTATTTTGAGTCCTCTCATGCAAAGAAATCGGATCTAGCTTAAAAACTGAGCTCTTGGGAGCGATTGCCGTGGTTCAATGTTTTGCGTCGAAATCGGCCGAACATGACGTCACTCTGACGTCATTTCCGGCCGACCTATGGTAGGTACGAAGTTCAAATTTTGACACAAGGTGTCAAATTGATGCAGCCGAAGGTAATAAAAGTTTGGCGTCGATACGTCAAGGGATTTGGAAGTTATTGCAGAAAAACGGGAGGGGGGCTATAAATAGCCCCCCCCCAGTGGGGCGCGGGTTAAGTTAATCACTGCTACAAGAATAAGCAGCACTAGGGGTCGGTGCATAAGATGCAATCAATTTTGCCTTTATTCACTACTTCGAGGCGTTAGGCGATATTCTAGCTTTTTCAGTTCTTATGCCGGTTTATTGTTTTCGTGTGTCCATTTTGATGATCTCATCGTTATCATATAGTCTGCAGGCGATCAGCCTCAGTCCGCAGCTTGCATGCTGCAGTGGGCCTGGGCCTCCCTTCAGTGGTAGCCGCCTTAGAATCGCCAATCGAAATTGGGTCGATTTACCGGCGACACGCGAATTTTGCAGTTGGAAGAGGCCGACCTGTCTGGATCAGATAGCTCCTCAGGTGGAGCGCTATGTTGCAGGCCAAAGGATTGTTACAGGGAACTACGTCACCATGCATGGAGCAGAGCTGCTCGAGTCATGCTGTTAGATCATGCTTTTCTGTATTGCTTTCAGGGTGGACACTGGACACTGGACAGCCAAGTTCCCTATAGCCTGTCGTCATGTTATGCTAGTCGACTTCCTTGTAGGCTGACGCCTGTTGTGACGAGTGATCGTACAGGCGAACAGACCCTTTCCTCCTCCTCTTTGTCAGCACGATAGAATCAATAGGATCGAACGATATTTGGTGTGATTTACATATGTGTAGAAACTTACACATTACATTTTCTTAGACAATAGGCATACCTAGGTTGCACAACTGAGCATGCTTATCAATCACTAAATATTTAGCAAAAAAAAAAAAAGATTTAAGACTGCCCACGTTGTCGCTGAGTAAATCCACCAATTGTCTGGCAGTCTCCAAAAAATATTGCATGGGAGAGCCGTGCTTCAACGCCCAACAAACCGCCTGATCTACTGCCATCTCTGACCGTTGTACGGGCCGTCGTTCCGTCTCATCAACCCGCTCTATCGTACGGCGTCACCGATAGTCCGGCCGGTCCGCCGGTCCGGGAGCCCGGCCGACGCCAGGTCACCGACCCTGACCTGCACGTGCATACAGACAGACATACAGACGGCCGGGCGGCGGCCGGCTCTGAAGATGTCGTCCCGATAAGGGACTGCTCGTGTAGATGGCTGCAGACTACTCTAGCGAACACGTGTTGTGTGGTGGCCAGTGGCCATCCAGATAAGGCTGCGCTGCAGGCAAAGCGCGTTCTGATGTCGGTTCGGTTTTATTGGGTGACGCGCGTGATTTGGAGATCGATCGGGAGGCGAGTGCGCGTGTGTGCGTCTGTGCTGCATGTTGCCAGTGAAGGGCTTGAGATTTATTGCCTGGGTGTGTGGGAATAATGGGTGTTGAGAGCTTCAAGTAAAATACTGTGAAAAGATGAGAAACAGCCACTGCTTTACATAGAGATAGGCAATAACTAATTGGTATTTATAAGCTTATATCTCTCCAACTAGTCCCAAGCTCGGGGATACAAAGTTCTTTTATTGGAATGCGGAAATTGTGTTTAGGCACTAATTAGACGGAATAACATCTGGATGTTGTTTACCCTCGAACAAAAGTCATAAGGCAAAACTGATGACAAAACGGGTCATTAGCAGCTGACTTGATGCATACCTACAGCCGCCTACGACTCAACGAAGCTATTGCAAGGAGTTGATGAGCATGCAACAATGAGGTCACATGAAGTGCTGTTTCATGTCCATACATTACATACCTCCCTAACAACAGAAGGCTTCTTATTTCAGGCTGGATATCCTCCCAGGTTCCGTGGATTGCAATGGGCTTTTGGTTGGTAGCCAAGCCGTGCAAGAATGCGCTTACTTGTTGTTCAGAAGCTGCTTACAGACAAGCTACTGTGGAATGCAAATCCAGCTTGCATGAGATTCTGTAAAACGCTGTAAGTTAGGTAGCGTAGCACCAAGCCTCATTGCATCTCTCACAGCAGACATCGTGTGCAAAGAGGTAACAAACAAAAAACTTCGTCTGCTGTTGAACTGCAAGGTTCTGCCGAACTAGCTGGTGGTGTTGAGGCGATTGCTACAGTTGGTGTGATATATTTGTGCATTTTTCAACGATGTTCAACATTCAAAAATTCTAGCAATAGCAAGTTACGATTTATTTCCATTTAACCCTATTCCTGGCGGGCTCCGCCGGGACAAGAAACTGGTGGGGGGGGGGCGATTCGGCCCCCCTTCAGATCTCAAAAACTACACATCGCAGCGACAAACGGCAAACGGCGTTTGATAGGTCGTTTAAAGATCTACAACTTTTACATGGAACATTTCCAGGTCAGGTCAATATTGAGGTCACCAGAGGTCATCAACGATAAAATGTTTTGGAATTAGGTACCTATATAACTTTTAAACAAGAAACATAGAGACATAAAACCAATACATTTTTTGTTGCTCTCGCCGAGGCGATGCGAAATAAGTATGTGATGACCTTCACAGGTCAATTTGAAATTTGACATGAGGTCAAGGTCAGGTCATTCATCAATGAGGTTGTGGGGTATGGTCATGCTGCATACCAAACGACGCGCCTTGACCAGGCGAGCAGTTTGGTACCACTTACAAGTCTTTAGCATAATCATGTCGTGATTTATTGACAGAAAAACGATTTATGACGTCACATGACCTCAGATGACCTTTGCCGGTGCCCCTGTCAATAAGCGGCACCAGGATCATCACCGATGAGATAATCTTCCATAATACTGAAAGAATTGGGTGGTTTTGACTCGTTTACACAAAGCAGGAGGCGTTTCAATATTTTGCCGTAGGCTTGCAATGTAAAGGTCACGAGTCTGGCCTGACCTCAGGTCACAGATATGAAAATTCTGAGATAAACAAATTGCACATACTGGTACC